CACGAAAGAGCTCAACGTCTTTGGTATGGATTGAGACACAAACGTCTCGAAGAAGTTGACATTCAGTCCCATTGAATCACAGTTGGGAACAAAGCATCTGTTGGACAACACGACGGGTCAGTCATTATGGATATAAATAGATATGTATTGAAAAGTAGTGTTAATTTACCGGTGATTAGGAGTGGCGGAGAGGAAGACCAGAGACAGCATAACAACCCCGGCGTTGATTACGGGCACACATGACAGCAAATACACGTACAGCTGATACCAACCAATTGATCCCAACAGTGATAGCGAAGAGTTGACATCCATTTGTGCGGACACTTGTATTTGTAATGTTAAGTAAACACTTGTATTAAAACAACATTTATATATAAAATCAAATTAAAAACTACAATAAAAACATTTAAAAAATTGCTTTAATTTGCGAAACGATTGAAAGTTAAACGAGAATTGAATTGAATTAAGGCTTAAATCATTGCATTTATATGGAAATGATTGGCAAATATTTGGCCAAAACATGATATATAGACTACATATGTATTGAAATGTTTAGACAATTCTTATGCAGTAATCAGTGTTTATGTTATAAAGTGTTTAAATAAATTGATTATTAAATTCAATTCAATTCATTTGTTTTGCTTTTTTCACTATTTGTTGACATTATAGTGAATGACGTCATGTGTTGTCAATAGTAAGCCATATGTGAACCGAAGGCAGTGTTCCCTCTCTTCCCACTCTTCACTACTTTCTCCCATTAGCTGTACTTTCATGAAAATAATAGCCAATCAATGCTTTTCTTATCATAGATTTTGCTGTAAAACTAATTCAAACTTTAAGACAACTATTGATTTATGATTCAAATCGATGCCATCGAGTCTGGCAAAGGATCCCCTCATAGTTTCATACACTTATTCACTAAACATATACTTTAAACGTGATTACCATTTATAACAGTAAATATATCCAAACTTTAAGCGCATATAACTGTAACCACAAAAACTTATTAAATTCAGTGTAACTTAAACTAAATGTCTATAAACTACCGAATATGCGAGCCTTAAATAATGTGCACATTTACAAACTCATCATAAAGTGATGGTTCATATTGTGCCGCACTTTACACCCCTCTAACTGATCCACTCTTGTCTGCAAATTGTCAAAAGAAGTTTGCATTTTGTAGAAAACCTCCGATTAGTTATTCAATTACATATTAGAGTCCATTCAATGCACAGTATTTAGTTTAGTGTGGATTTAATTCGTTTACAAATTGGTAACCCAGTAAATGATATCCGTAATTGCCCATGAAGTTACGTTTGGATACAATTAAGATACATTTGGACATGTCCACAGTGGGTGGAACCACTTATATTTGGTGCAAAGGTGCCACTTCTGTCGGTTCCTGTCATTTGATTGATTGCATAACTTTAAGCCAATGATTGTGTGTTACGTGTTATCTGAATGTCTCATCTCTTGATTGTTTCACAAATGGACGTCTGATTTGATTGTCTTTGTCTATCATGTGTTCACCGAAACCATTGGGCATCTTCTGGGACACCAACTCGTGTCCCATTCCTCAGCAAATGTCTGCCACCCGTTGTGTCCAACACTTGAGGTCATTCATCAACGATCACATGAGCGACACATGTCTTGAATACGAATTCATATGTATTTGTCATTCAATACAATCCAATCATTCAATGATTGAAAGTAATTATACATTCAATTGATTCCTATTTCTTAGCCATTAATCCAATCGATTGATTGTCCATTGATTCAGGTCTTCGGCAAAATGGCTGTAATGTTGTGGCCATGGATTGCAGGCGAAGAAGCGATGTTTGCGTCAGATTTAATGAGATAATTGGTTTGTTTGTCGATCACTACGGCTTTGAATCGGTTCTCGTCTTAATATGTGATCTAAACTCTGATGTCTTTTCGGCCATTCGTTCGGCGAAACGCAAAGAAGTGTCGGTTCTTCTCATTTATGGCAATACTTCAGACCAATTGCTTGTCTCAGCCGTCGATCGCGATGTCTATCGATTCGATGATGTCTTTGGGTTTAATGGTATTCGTATTTCTAACGGATATATCAAAGTCAATGTCTGACCACTTGTTTGCAATTACAGTGAAGACAACTGATTCAGTAGTGGATAATTCATGGCCAGCGATGGACGACTCGATCAATGAATTTTGTCGTCAATTTGATTATAAGATTGGATTCAATTCAAGAGATTATCGAGAAGTGGAATACAATAACATAAACGACAGCCAAATGTCTAAATCACAACTTAGAAGTTGTGTCCAACACTTGAGGTCATTCATCAACGATCACATGAGCGACACATGTCTTGAATACGAATTCATATGTATTTGTCATTCAATACAATCCAATCATTCAATGATTGAAAGTAATTATACATTGAATTGATTCCTATTTCTTAGCCATTAATCCAATCGATTGATTGTCCATTGATTCAGGTCTTCGGCAAAATGGCTGTAATGTTGTGGCCATGGATTGCAGACGAAGAAGCGATGTTAGCGTCAGATTTAATGAGATAATTGGTTTGTTTGTCGATCACTACGGCTTTGAATCGGTTCTCGTCTTAATATGTGATCTAAACTCTGATGTCTTTTCCGCCATTCGTTCGGCGAAACGCAAAGAAGTGTCGGTTCTTCTCATATATGGCAATACTTCAGACCAATTGCTTGTCTCAGCCGTCGATCGCGATGTCTATCGATTCGATGATGTCTTTGGGTTTAATGGTATTCGTATTCCTAACGGATATATCAAAGTCAATGTCTGACCACTTGTTTGCAATTACAGTGAAGACAACTGATTCAGTAGTGGATAATTCATGGCCAGTGATGGACGACTCGATCAATGAATTTTGTCGTCAATTTGATTATAAGATTGGATTCAATTCAAGAGATTATCGAGAAGTGGAATACAATAACATAAACGACAGCCAAATGTCTAAATCACAACTTAGAGGAATAGATGTTGTTGACCACCGATTGAATGCCGCAATGGTTGAGATGGAATTCGCGGACAATCCAATTAACAATTCACTGGTAATGTGTGGCAATTCTTCGACAACTCATTTGAGGCCATTGTCTCCGATTGAAGTACAAATTGACGATAAATGCAAATCAGTTATAATAGGTTTGTATACGAAAGCCAACGACAATGTGCTTCAATTGGTCCGCGATTTTGTGAAGAGTTGGAGAGAACCGACTCTCGACGAGTCTGTCGTCTTAAGTGTGAATCGCGAAAAGGAGTTTATTGGTCGCAGCGGAAGGGCTAGTCTTATAGTGACCGCAATCGACGCCAAGACTAACAACAAAATATTAAACGTCGCGAAGAAATGCTTCACTTCTAGAGTGGAAAGGATTTATTGGAATCAATTGCGAAGATCTCAAAAAGATAGGCCTAAAGTATGCAAAGAGCAGTGTATGTCACTTGTTATAGGCCTGTGGAGCCGACACAACGAGAATGTGCTCAACACTATCAGACAATTGGTCAAGAGTTGGCATTTGATTGACTTTGATGTCAATCATATCGTTTGTGTCGATCGCGCGAAGAGATTCAAAGGCAGGGACGGAAAGGCGGCACTCATTGTATACACCGATTCAGTCAATAGTAATGAAAAGCTATTGAATTTTGCTTTAATTAAATTCATTGATAAGAATAAGAAGTTGTATTGGAAACCAATGCAAACTAAATCGACGAAAGCTATTATTACTGAAAGAAATGAATAATTGGCTGACAATACATAAGATATCTATTCTTGTAACTCATTATCATTACAAATTTGAGGCCATTGTCTCCGATTGAAGTACAAATTGACGATAAATGCAAATCAGTTATAATAGGTTTGTATACGAAAGCCAACGACAATGTGCTTCAATTGGTCCGCGATTTTGTGAAGAGTTGGAGGGAACCGACTCTCGACGAGTCTGTCATCTTAAGCGTGAATCGCGAAAAGGAGTTTATTGGTCGCAGCGGAAGGGCTAGTCTTATAGTGACCACAATCGACGCCAAGACTAACAACAAAATATTAAACGTCGCGAAGAAATGCTTCACTTCCAGAGTGGAAAGGATTTATTGGAATCAATTGCGAAGATCTCAAAAAGATAGGCCTAAAGTATGTAAAGAGCAGTGTATGTCACTTGTTATAGGCCTGTGGAGCAGATCCAACGATAATGTGCTCAATACTATCAGACAATTGGTCAAGAGTTGGCATTTGATTGACTTCGATGTCAATCATATCGTTTGTGTCGATCGCGCGAAGAGATTCAAAGGCAGGGACGGAAAGGCGGCACTCATTGTATACACCGATTCAGTCGATAGTAATGAAAAGCTATTGAATTTTGCATTAATTAAATTCATTAATAAGAATAAGAAGTTGTATTGGAAACCAATGCAAACTAAATCGACGAAAGCTATTATTACTGAAAGAAATGAATAATTGGCTGACAATACATAAGATATCTATTCTTGTAACTCATTATCATTACAATTGTTTAAACTAAAGAGTATTTTGATTGTTTTTGATGCACTGTTCAGTTAATTTATAAATATTTACATTTTCTTTAATATAAATTATGATATATTTATGTTGTTTTATAACATTTATAAGCCTTATATCGTTATTGACTTACATTGTGTACAGAGTTGTCAACGTTTACTAAATATATGAATTATTTTTCAATTGTTTGCATAAATTATGCACTATTTAACAGTTATTTGGCGACTATTTTGTTATTATTTAAAATAATTTAATATAACGGTTTTGATAAAATCATACTTTTTATAAATTATGATAAAGTTATTGACGTTTGCGACCAAAACTACAGTATTTAATACGGGTTTTTGTTCATTGAATAATTATAAATATTTTTGTAAAAATAAAAAATTAATAAACATTTGAAATGACGTTTAAGACATTGTCTATAATTGTGTTTATCTTAAATTTAAAATACATTTGTTTTATTGATTGCATTGAATTATTTAGTTTGGATCCGGATATTGACCGAAATGCGGTAAACCATTAATTTAATTGAATTATTAATGATTAAAAGCTTAATTCATTTTATTAATATATAATCAAATGTAAGACACAAATAATAAATTCACGTGGATTTCTATCTCAAACTCATCAAGTGATCACAAGAGATGGATATATTTTAACATTGCATCGCATAATTAATCCCATTTATAACACAAATTCAAGTTTGTATCCAATTCTGTTGCAAAACGGTTTGGCCGGTAATACCGAGCAATGGTTTATTACAAGACCTGGTCTTCTCTACACAAATGGCACTTATATTGAAAATAACGGACTCATCAACGATTGCCTATCACGCGGTTCTGTGGCCAATACATTGCCGTTTGTATTGTCTGCCTGTGGTTATGATGTTTGGTTAGAAAACCTAAGAGGAAGTAAATATTCATCGCATATATTATTGGATCAATATACAGGTTTCATAAATATAAACTAATCCATAAATTCATGATCATAATTTATTTCATATTTATCAGATTATAGATATTGGTCGTTTAATTTGGATCAATACAGTAGCTATGATCTGACCGCTAATATTAAATATATTTTGGATACAACAAAATCAAGTATTTAAGTGAATTCATAATCAATGTAGTAATCTCTTGTTATTGTCGTTTTAATAGTAAATGTGTAAAAACAATAGTAGTACATTTTATTTGGCAAACGATCATTACGTTAAATTGTTATTTATTTTAAATTTAATATTTGCAAAAGAAACTCTTGGTTATATTGGTTTCTCGTTGGGTAACACAATAATGTTTCAATTGCTGGCATCACAACCACAATACTCACTGATTATAAAACCATTCATATCTTTGGCCAGTTTTGTATATTTAGAAAATATAAGATCTCCTCTTTTAAGACTGACGGATGTGTTTGAGCCGTTGTTTAGGTTTATTCTCTTACGTTTGTTCACAAAACTTATAAAACTAAATATTTCTGACAATCAGGTCAAAAGCAGTCCGAATCGGAGGCTTCGGTCAAAAACAACCCGCTTTTGGCCGATATTTTTGCGGTAATTCTATACTGAAGAGCGTCTGTATTCTCATATACTTTCTTATCGGGGGATTTGATTTGGAAAATCTCGATAAAGTAAAGTATGATATAATTATGTCTTTCGCCACTTATTGATGTGATTTAGGCTTTTATTCCAAGACTTGGCGCTCACTTTCCTGATTCCCTGTCGTCGATTGTGTTGGCACATGTGGGACAACGGATTCATTTCAATACATTTAGTTTTTATGATTACGGCAGTGAGAAAAATATGCGGACTTATAATCAGAAAATGCCACCGATTTATAATATATCAAACATTAATTCTAGTTATATTGTATTGATGTCGGGTTTGAATGACTTTTTATCTGATTCAACAGATGATGATTTACTTCGCAGTCAACTGACAGGTTAATAGTTAATTGTACCATGCTTTATAATATGATTAAGTATACTAATTGATTGATGTAGTGAACCCATACGCTGATTATGTGGTGCCATTCAATGGCTGGACTCACGGAGACTTTCTCTATGCTAATAGTGTCGGGCGTTATGTAAACGCACCCATTCTTTACATATTAAAATCATTAGATTTATTTTAAAATATTTAAAATTGTTGTAATTTATTTGTGTAAAATTAAGACATGTGTTAATCATTAAATTAAATTAATATAAATATTTATAATTTTTAGGAAATAATTTTAAATAATAAAAAAATATTTTATGAACACATATAAGGGCTAATTGCAAATGAATCTCAAAATATGATTTATAATGACAACAAAATGTGGAAATAATAGTAACAATAAATTGAAAATAAATTAAATTGTGTTTTTTTTATAAAAATATCTAAAATGAAAGTTTTTGAAAAGATTACTTTACTTTTGAACTTTATTTTAAGCATTAATTGTTTTGAATATTTTAGCTCAGATCCCGATATTGACAGGAATTCGGTATAAGACTATTACTATAATAAAATTGTAATTAATTTATTTATAACTTGTTAAAGAGTGAACTCATCAGATCTCGAGGTTTTATACCTGAAAGCCATGATATCATAACAGAAGACGGATATATAATAACTATATTTCGATTAATAAATCCAATACAAAACAGATCATCAAAACATTATCCCATTTACATACAGCACGGCTTCTTTCAAAACTCGGATAATTGGCTTATAAGTAGTGTTGGAGTCCTCGACGGTAATGGTGTCTATTCAGAAGATAATTCAATCGTAAACAACTGTTTTGATTCCGATTCTGTGGCCAATACTTTGCCTTTTGTATTGTCTTCATGTGGTTATGATGTCTGGTTAGGAAATATAAGAGGTAACAGGTATTCATCACATATTGCTTTGGATCCAGACAGAGGTAAACAACATTTTTAAAACACAGTTATTGATTCTTTCTAAATTAAATCTAACATTTTTTACCAAGACATGAAATATTGGACATTTTCAATGGATGAGTTCACCAAATATGATATAACGAGTGCTATTGAACATGTCATTAGAGTAACTAATAGTGGTATTTTACAATTACATATTGTATACTGTAGTATTGTATAGTATAAGTGTGTTTAAAAATTACTTCTCAGTACTCCCAGCATAAAACCCTTGTGTTGTAATTTATACACTATTCATATGTTAGTCATATAAATTTATAGTGTACTCTAATATAATGAATACTTGACAAAACACCTTGGTGATTCAGTAATCACGTTATGTTTATAATATCCCCTATTTCAATCTAAACGCTCTTAGTATAGTACAATACTTGATTGCTCATTACAGTTAATTAATGCATTTTCCACATTTCTAAGAGACCATCGGTTATATTGGATATTCTTTGGGCACAACAATGATGTATCAATTGTTGTCATCAAAACCAAACTATTCAAATATAATTAAACCATTTATATCTTTGGGTCCATTTGTATATATAAGCCATATATTATCACCACTTTTACGAATCCCGATGTCTTTTGAGCCAATCCTTAGGTACAGATAATTTTTTATAAAACATTTTAAAAAAGTTAAATTTAATGAATAGTTCAGATCCGAAGCCATTGGCCAGATTGGGTTCGCTCTCACCATTAATTGGTCGGTATTTTTGTGGATTTGCAATGTTTAAAGAGATATGTGTTATATTTGGTTTCCTATTCGGCGGTTTTGATTATCCACAACTCAATCGAGTATTTATTATATTTAAATAATTTACTCACAAATATAATTAAATTTGTTCTCCATTTAGACACAAACTCCCCGATTGTTTGCACACTTTCCTGACAGCAGCTCAACGATAGCCGTATCGCATGTCATCCAACGAATAATGAATGAAAACTTTTCCTATTTTTCATATAACTCAACAGAAATGAATCAAAGAGTTTATGGACAACAAACGGCTCCCAATTATAATATTTCTAGTATTGACTCCAAATATATTGTAATAATGAACGGTTTGAACGATTGGATCGCAGATTCCACTGATGTCGATATACTCGTCGATCAATTAACAGGTACATTATTATTTGATTATTAAATGTATATAATTAGTAGATAATTAGCGTGTAATTAATACTTTAGTACCAATTGTAAGACATGTGATTCCGTACGAGCATTGGACACACGGAGACTTTGTGTTTGCCAGAGAAGTGGGCAAATATATTAACGCCCCCATACTTGGGGTACTTCACTCACTCGGGTTATAAGTTTTAAATTAATATTCAAACAATTTTGGATTAGAATGTTTGTATACAGTTAAATCTAGTTAAATTGTAAAATATAGATATAATATAAAAGTGCAAATATGAATAAGATTGGTTTTCAATTGAATCACATTTTATTAATTTTTACATATTTTCTTAATTGAATTATAAAAGTATAAAATAAAATATTTGATTATATCATAATATATATGAACTAAAATAACAATTAAAAAGTTTTAAACTTTGGCTTAATTTGAAACAACAAAAGAAAAATATAATAAAACAAATTAAAACTAATAATTAATATTATAATAAGTATATAATTCGTGAGATTTGGGCGAATGCTGAGAGTTTGGCTTAATTTATCGTCCGATTCCTTTGCCAGCCTTTGCGACGGCCTTTTTGGCCGCAAATTTAGCGCCGACTGCACCGCCTTTCTTACCGGCGGCTTTGGCCGCAGCGAAACCTTTCTTAATACCTTTGGCCCCTCCGGCAGCGGCCGCTCCCTTCTTACCCGCTATTTGTGTCAAAACAAATCAAATTTAAATAACAATTCACTTTCCATTAAACATTGAAACTAACCTTTAACTCCCTTTTTGAAACCTGCAGCTCCGGCGGCTCCAAACTTGGCTCCCTTTTTGCCTATAATATTACAGTATATTAATAATTAAATGAAATTTCACAAACAATTTTTAGTGAGTGGTCAGACCTGCGGCACCGGCGACACCTCCAGCTGCGAATTTACCGCCCATTTTACCAAACTTGAAGCCCTGTTTCATACCAAACGTCTTGATTGCACCGAATTTCTT